CTCGCCTGCCTGTCGGCGCAGAACGGGGAGTCGTCCCCCTCGGCGGCGTCTGCGGGGGACCTGGCCCACGCCAACGGGCTCCTGCCTGCCGCCCCCTCCGCCGCTGGCAACAATAGCAACAGCCTGAGTGTCAATAACGGGGTTCCCGGCGGGGCCGCCGCGGCCTCCGCCACCGCCGCCGCCGCCCTGGCCACCCCCGAGCTGGGCAGCAGCCTCAAGAAGAAGAAGCGGCTCTCGCAGTCCGATGAGGATGTCATTAGACTCATAGGACAGCACCTCAATGGCCTGGGGCTCAAGTAAGTGTCCGTCCTCTCCACCTGGGGAGGGCCGTAGGGGGACCCCCGGGGCCCCGTGCGCAGGAGGCCGCGGACCGACAGCCCCGGGAGGAGCGGAAGGGAGCTCGGGGGAACCGGATCGGCCTGGTGTCGTGAAGCCAGCCGAACCGTCTGGGGTTCGGGGAGGGGTGGTGGAAGCCCAGAGTGACCCCTCCCCACGCACCTCCAGAGCCGGATTGTCAGTCCGAGAAGGCGGCCACCGAGGGTGTTGATGCTGGGGGAGGGGAGGGGTGGATCAGAGCGGTGGAAATAATGAACCTTGGAGGATTTGTTTTTCAAGTGTGTCTCAGAGGCATCTTTGTGGGACACCTCCCCACCCCCACCCCTGACCGACAACAGCCCAGGCAAACTACCAATCAGGAAGGACAGTCGCCTACAAGTGTTTATGGGAACTAAGGGGCTGGGGTGATTTGGAAAGAGGCTGTCGAGTAAAGCTGGTGGGAATAATGAAGAAAGACAGGGAGTTGAAGTCCGGCAGAGGCTGTGTGTGTACTGAAGGCCTAGCACTAGTGAAATCCCCACTTCAAAGCCAAGAAGGTTGCCTCTGAAAAAGTGATCCCTGGTCTGGTGAATCATTCGTTTTCAAATACAGGTTCAGTGGCCTTTAACTTAGGGTGAAGGTAGACAGAGGGTTTAATCAAAACTCACTGTTTTGTACACACACAAAAGAAAAACTAAGGGAGTTGAGGTAGGGCTGGTGGGAGTGTCCTGGAGAGCCAGAAGGAGCTGATGGGAGTCAACACGCCACAGTTTCCTAGCTTCAGAGGGGAATTTCAAATAAACTCTCAGGCTGAAGTGTCGGGGTGTTGTTGTTGTTGTTGTTGTTGTTCGTGGTGGTGGTGGTGGTGTGTGCACTCGCATGTACTTGTTGGGAAATGGGGAGAACAGCCTTTAGTCAGAGTGGCAGAAGTATTTTGATTCTCAAGCTGAGCATTGCAGTGTTGAGCTGGAAAATGAGGAGCACGAAAGAAACACTAAGTAAAGCCATCAGCACAAATAGATGACTGCTGAATGGAGGCTTGGATAACAGAGTCTCTGGTAAACGAAACCACATTCGATGAGTTAAGCTCCCAAAGAAAACTCTAGAAAGATTTCACTTTATTCCCTAAAGGCAAAGGGTAAGCGTGAAAATAAATTTTGAGAATGCTAACAGAACGTATTGTCGAGGGAAGCAGCAAGCTGAGCAGCAGGCGGAAGTAGCTCGGGACTGTTTGGAATCTACACCATAGTAAATTGGCTATTTTTAGTATGAAGAGAAAGGAAATGGTTTTTGATGCTGGATTTGTTTTAATTTTAAAGACTGACCTAGCAGAATTTCCATACAAGCAAAATATCTGGAAGGAAAGCTCTACCTAGCACAGTCCATCTGTCATCTTGTAGTTTATCTTTGAAAATGCTGGGCCATAGATAGTTTCTAGATCCTAGTTTTGTTTGACCATTTGGTTAGAGCACATTTGAGAAATTGTATACACTCCTTTAAACTACTGAAACATTAAATGGCAGAAGTAGGAAGAACTGAATTAATGGTTTCAAGAAAGATTTTTAACTTTAAATGTAGGTGGCATTTTAAATTGTTTATTTAACCAAGTGCTCTAAAGGTTTTTTTCCCTCACAAAGTTGTAGACACTAGTTCATTAGGAAGAGCCCATCCCTAAAGTTGGTCAGGTCTTTTTTACATTGTGTCTCTCCTGCAGCCAGACTGTTGACCTCCTCATGCAAGAGTCAGGATGTCGTTTAGAACATCCTTCTGCTACCAAATTCCGAAATCATGTCATGGAAGGAGACTGGGATAAGGTAAAGTAGGGCATACAGAGCTGTATGACTGCTACTAAAATTATGTATGTGATGGACATTTTGTGACATTTTTGTTTTTCTTTTATACCAATTTTTGCAGGCAGAAAATGACCTGAATGAACTAAAGCCTTTAGTGCATTCTCCTCATGCTATTGTGGTAAGAGGCGCACTTGAAATCTCTCAAACGTTGTTGGGAATAATTGTGGTAAATACACTTTTGTTCTTAGTTTCACATTTATGCTTATTTTAGGTTATTGATAACTATAGCATCTGATCTTAAGAGGCTTAAAAGTAAATTTTATGTAATTTATAAATAAGGATGAGTTGTTTATGGTTGTAAGCTATGAACTTTAAGTTTTTTTATGTCATACTTAGTAAATGTGTCATTTGAAACTAATTTAAGCTCTATAAAAATGTAAACATCTTCCTGCTTTTAGTGCTGTTAATAGGAGCCTTGTATTGTTAGGGTCAAGGATAAATTATACTTTTATATTACTCAAAATACTGAATGTGTTTGTTGAAGAGAAAATATGTTTGGGTATGTGTATAATGTATAGCCTGAAGAAGCTGGTACATTATTTTTTTGATCATTGGAATTACATAGTCAAGCCAAATTATTACTGTTGGTGCCTACCATTTTCTTTCATTCAAGTTATATATATGAATTGATAAATGTCAAAGTTTGTATGTGTCACTTTGAGGGGTTTAGGTGCAGATTTGACCATTGGACCTGCTTACGATCTTTATTTTCTTGTCAAAATGTTTAGTAGTTAGTTCACCCTGTTAACCTCCTTCATTAACCTTGATGGGTTTTGTTTTGTTTTGTTTTGTTTGTGCGGATGGGTTTTAATTCTTTAGGAAGTGATACATTGTTTTGTTTTGTTTTGAGCACTAGTGATTGGAAAGCATGAAGAATCGGCTGCTGGCTTATAGACTTCCAGCTGATTCATTTATTGTCAAAGGCAGTTTCCTGTCGTTGGGGGAGGGAAAGAAGGAGACTAGGAAGTGGAGTAGGGAAGCCAGCTGTTTGTTAAATATTAGTAAGTGACCATTAGCATTTTGGTGTGTTTTTTTTTTTTTTTTTAAATTGGGTCAAACATTAACCTTTTTTACCTTTGTCTATAAACTTAATAGAGCCATGGGTTTTTTTTTTTTTCTTTTAAAAAACCTTACTACAAAATCGTTTCAAAATTCTCTACAAAAATATAATCTTAGAAAGTAGGCTTCAGGAAATTAAAGGTCTAAAGAAGTATGACAAACATGTAGTTAAATTCATGGTTCTGTTCTTTCAATAAATACTCAAAGCATTAAAAAATTTAAATGAGTACAAAGTCAAATGATTTAACTTAAGAAACAAACAATTCCATAGAATAATTTAAAATAAAAATGAGCTAAAGTAAGCATCCATATTTGAAGGGATTAAATTTTTTTTTCAGGAAATAGAAAGTGTCCTCAATTGGTATGTCTAGGGTTTAAAACCTAAGTGTATTTTAATTGAGCAATTACACATTTTTGGCTCAGTCTGAATGAGCTAAAAGAGAATAAAATGGCCAAAATAAGAATTGGGGTTTATTGGTGGCTATGAAGAAACTTATTTGTGGAGTATTCTGATGTAATTTCTTAGACTATGTTTTCATTTTTTTTAAGTTTATCCAATTATATGTATACTCTAATAGCCAAAAATTTAATGGATTCACTTCTTTTAAAAATTTATTCGTAATAATTTTGAGACTTCTGCTTGGATTTAGATTGACTCATTAGAAACTTCAGTAGAAGCAACATGTAAATTGAAGAAAGATAGTTATAGATAATAAGGAGGAATCCTTTCTTTTTACAGCCTGTTGAGTCTGTAGAACATTTAGGATCTAATAAAAGATGAAGATTAGATCTCTGGCTGAGCCTCACACCATCAAACTGTTTAGGTATTTATACAAAGAAAGGGGTTCCACTTCTGTCTCCATAAGCAGTGATGAATCAGTTGCTTTAAAAGATTGAGTTCAGCAGTTTTTCAAGCCACTCTTCACCTTTCTAATATCATTTATTCCTTCCCAACTTCCTAGCTAGAAGTTGAAATTTGTAATAATGTCTTAGAAGACAACTGTATGGGTTTTTAGCATAATTACTTCCTTTCCACCCAGACACTTGATGACAGTACAGTCTCAAACTGCACATGATTTCCATTGACGGGAATGAAAGCCAGGGCCTTCTCTGGCTTAGCTAGTGCTCTGCCACTGAGCTGCATCGCTAGCCTTGAGACTATACTTTATTTTTAAAATCTGAATGTTTTAATTGATCTAGTTTACTTCCCTCACTTTCTCCCTGTCCCCCACGCATTAAAATGGTTTCCAGTCTAATGATACTCAGAATAGCAGATGTTGTGGGCTTTTTGGATGCTGAAGTCATGAATCAACATTTTTCAGTTTGAGTTGATAATGCCATGTCTGAGAATCTGGATGGACATTTGAGACCAAGAACAGAAAATTGCTATATGATTACAAAGTCTCATTGTTTTTGTTTTTTAATGTAATAGAAATAATTTTAACAAAAAGGGCAAATATGAACTTGACATAAAAATTAACTCAAAGTCAAATAAAAACTTTGAGATCCTTAGATTAAATATAATTTATTTCTCCTTTCCTTGGAATCAGGATTTAATTGGCAAAATTTGCTTATTTTAGAGTTAAAGCCATCACAAAATTAGGAGATTGCCCTCAATAACTAGGCTCCATGGATACTATTTTTTCTGAGTTTTTCTTCAATGTTAAAATTCAGTCTGATAATGTGGGGAAAAGATAAGATGAGGGGGGGTGTCCAAGAAGAATTTTCAATTTCAGGTTTTTATTAGATTTTAAAAGAGAAGAAAATACTGCTGGGCCTAAGTCACTGAGAGTCACCAGAGAGCTGAAGTGTCTGATAGAGGTCTAATTGGAAAAACTCATGGAGGGTGTTCTTTCCACATCCCTTTTCTTGCCCTCTGGCACTTTCAGAAGTTTCTGATCTTGAAAAGAGAGGAAAGAAGATCCTTGTCTAAGCATTCTCAGCATTGCCTAATTTTTAACTTTCTCAAGAATGAACATCATTTGTGCAGTAAAAGGTCTTTATTTTCTTGAGATTATATTAATTTTGAGCTTTGAATTTAGGAAGGTAAAATACATTTTCCTTGTTACTGTACAGTGTCGGACACTTCGCTGAGCTTCAGATGGCTAAACATTTTCTTCCTCGAACTCTAGCGGTGTTCGTCTAGTAGCATGTTAGCTGCAGTGCACTAGGCCAAGCTTTGATACCCATTTGAGGGTGTTCCCTGTCTTCTTCTGGGTAAAATGACTCATAAAAATGTCCTTGTGTTGATTTTACAGCATTCCCGTATATACAGGAATATGTGTTTGTGTTGGCTTTGCTCAGAGCTCTAGTCTGCTTCCTTTTCTATCCTGCCTCATCTTTACCCATAGAACACAAGAACATGTTCTGCCAGGGTCTTGGTGAGAGAGTAAGGGAGAAATAGCATTGAGCACCATCCCTCTACACACAGGGTCTAGGGAGGGGGAGGGTAGAGGGCCTTACAAGTAATAGTAAATGAGCAAAGACTTGCCTGGAATTAAAAGGAAAAAAATGTTTTCCAAATTCCCAGTTGCTGAGAAAATTTAGTGAGGAAATGAAATTCATACTGACTAGTTGCATGTGGCATTGCTTAAGTTTGACTTAAAAATACACTAAATTATGAAACCAACAGAGTATTGATAACACAGGAGCTTCATTTTGTAAAAGTAAACATTTTTTCAGAAGATGGTAACAGTAGCCTAATAACTTCCCATATAAGACCCCCCTCCCTTTTAAGACTTTCAAATTTAATTGGGAATTTTGTCACCTGGTGAACTTCCAAGTATTTTTTACTTGAATATAAAAATAAACTTAAGTACACATATACACCAAACATGCTTTTCAAAGCATCTTGCTAATTAGTCTGTTTCTGAAACTGATTACATTAGTCTAACTTTATGTGTAAAATTGGTAAGTGCAATTTTCCTAGCTACAGGAATATGTCTCAGTTTCAAAAATTTTTCTGTTTTTGTTTTTTTGTCTTACCTAAAGTTTTAAGATTAGATTACCAAACAGAAGTAACAGGTCTCACAACAGCAAAGTTTAAATAGTTGTCTGGCTTATATAAGAGGGTTTAAATAAACTTGTAGTTGACACACAGTAGAATAATAATAATAGTATAATAAAATAATTATATATAATACTATAATATCTTATAGATACTACTTAATATAAAATCTTTCAAAGCAGTTCATTACGTTCTTTAATTCTGTTGTTACATGGCAACATTTGGTGCACCATTTTTTAACAACTCTTTTTTTAAGTGGACTTAGCTCCTCCACATTCCATGGAACTTCTAAATGTAATGAACATTTTCTGTCATTATGCTTGGCTGAAGCACAAGGAACAGTTTGAGAGGGTCCTCCGAACAGTGGTCATCAGTTACGCTTCAGGTTGAGAAGACACTCTAGATAGATAACAGATACTGCTCTTGTCTAGTGGAGAAACTGGTAGGGTTGGGATCATCATTTTCAAATTTAGAATAAGACGATAGTGTAACATTAAAAATGTTAAAACCAAACATTTCCTATAGGAATAAATGGGAAAGTGTCTCATAACTGAAAAGTGCTTTATCCTTGTGGGCAAATAATAAATAATAGTTATCTGTGCTTCGTTGCTAACACATTAATGAGCAGATGATTAGAAATATGCAGACATAGTAGACTGAACCTTCCTAAGGCCATTAAACCTAACCTTCTCATGTGAGCGTCTCTTTACAACTGCAGAGAGAGCAGGTGAGCGTGTGCTCCCCACTTCAGTCACAGGATCCCCAAACTCTTGCACACCAACCTGCAGTGTGCATCTGTTGGAAAGCCAGTTTTACTTTGGAAGCCAAAATCGGGCACTTTCCTACTTGACCGAGTGACTTTAGTTCTGCCTTCCAGTCACCTTAGTTTTCTGTCACATTGTGGCTTTTTTGTTTTGTTTGGGGTTTTTGTTGTTTTTTGTTTGTTTGTTTGTTTGTTTTTGCGGTACTAGAATGAAATCCATATCTCTCCATACTACACAAGCCCTATACAACTGAGCTATACCCCCACTGCATCATGGCTTTCAAATAACTCTTTCATTAACTGGGATTTTTTTTTTTTGCCAGTGTTTTCAAAGCTTGCTGCATAAGACCTCTTTTTGTCCTATTAAGATAGTCAGAAATTTTAAAAAGCAGATTTGGAATTCTTGGAATAGTTTTAAATGTTGATACATAGAAATCTAAGGAAATGTAAGAGCAGAATTCATTTGTGTTTTATTTCTTATGTTCATAATGCCTCAGTCACTAATGGTCCTGACTGGAGAGTTGTTTTATTAATATGTAGACTTGAGCAGTCATTTAACCTACTATGACTCGTAAAACAAAACATCTTGAGTCATTTGCAGCTTTATAAAATTACTTTCAAGAGGCATAGTAGAATGGTCTCTACTGTTCTGTTTAGGCACAAACATTTTCTGAAACTTCCATCAACTTTTTTCCCCTGACTGCTGCTTTCTGTCATGTCAGAGGATGAAGTTTTTGCTGCTGCAGCAGAAGTACCTGGAATACCTGGAGGATGGCAAGGTCCTGGAGGCACTTCAGGTTCTCCGCTGTGAACTGACGCCACTGAAATACAATACAGAGCGCATTCATGTTCTTAGTGGGTAAGGAAGTGGGGTTCTTAGACTCCAGATTCATGAAGAGGCTGTTATTTTTATAGAAGTTTACTGTTGGTCAAAGTTAAAGTACCTGGATATTGCTAAATTCGTAGTTCTGGATCAATTCACTTATGTGTGCACAAGCTATTTAGCTATCTATATTAAGATCGGACAGCTGAGCAGTGGTGGCACACTCCTTTAATCCCAGCACTCGGAGTTAGACGCAGGAAGATCTCTTGAGTTTGAGGCCAACTTGGTCTACAGAGCGAGCTCCAGGACAGCCAGAAAACCTGTCTAGAAAAAACACAAGCAAAAAAACAATAAAAGGCCAGGAGGTGGTGGCACACACCTTTAATCCCAGCACTTGGGAGCTAGAGCCAGGCGGATCTCTGTGAGTTTTAGGCCAGTCTGGTCTACAGAGCGAGATCCAGGACAGGAACCAAAAAACTATACAGAGAAACCCTGTCTTGAAAAATCAAAAAAAAAAAAAGATTTGAGATACTTAATAGGTGAAAGGGAGAAGACATCCATATAGCCAATGAGATATTACTTCAAAATCTACTCACACACAAGAAAGAAAGAAAGAAAGAAAGGAAGGAAGGAAGGAAGGAAGGAAGGAAGGAAGGAAGGAAGGAAGGAAGGAAGGAAGGAAGAAAGAAAGAGCGAACTTGATGGCTTTGGGTCACAGCATGCACTGAAGGGCGTACAGGTGTTCTGCATACAGAGTCATCTGCTGCTTAACTGTCAGCTGCTCTTTATTCTTCTGTTGCAGTGATCTGTATGTCTATCTATTTAGAAGCATGGTCTCATTACATATCCTTGGCTACCCTGGAACTCGCTGTGTAGACCAGGATGGCCTAAAATTTGTAAGAAATGTATAACTGGGCGGTGGTGGCACATGCCTTTAATCCCAGCATTCAGGAGGTAGAGAGGCAGGCTTATATTAAAAGAGCCTTGTCCCACAGAGCCCTCTTACTGGTTCCCCAAAATTATTTTAGAGACAAAGTGTTCCTAATACCCAG